AATACCTTGATACACCTCATTTTTTGTGCAGGTATTGAGTGAAGAATTGAAAGTTGAAGACCCATTGGATTGGAAATTAAAGGAGCTAAGGAGCAGGAGAAGAGTAACTACGTCGGGCGCAAGACTACCCGCGTCAGGCTTGAGAAGAACAGAGAGACCCACCCTAGAAGCCTTGCTTACGGTCATGTTCCAGCTCAGCTTAGAATGAAGCTTGATGATAGGAGCAAGAAGTATAGCTTGATCGGGTATGATGAAAAGGCAAAAGCCTACAAATTGTACAACCCTGTTACAAGAAAAATCCTGGTAAGCCGAGATGTCCAGGTAGATAAGGAAAGCGAGTGGAGCTGGAGTAACTCTAAAGAGACTTCGGGGAGCTCGAACTCTGAGAGGGAGAAATCAGAGATAATAGGGAGAAGCTCGGATAGGACCAATGAGCATTTCGAGGAAGATGATGAACCTGAGCAGCTTAGAACTTGGAGCTTGCAAGACATCTACAACTCCACTGACGAGTTATATGTAGTATGTCTGTTGACAGGAACAGAAGACATAAAATTTGAAGAGGCGGTACTTGATGAGAGATGGAAGAAAGAAATGGATGAGGAGATCGGATCAATTGAAGAGTGAGATGGGAAGCAAAGCTAAGCTAGTTGAGGAGTTTAAAGAAGTGATGAAGAGGGAGTTTGAGATGACCGATTTGGGCATCATGAAGTATTTTCTGGGTTTAGAGGTGGATCAAAGAACAACAAGTACTTTTGTGTCCCAAAAGAGGCATCGGCCACCGCGGCGCCGGGGGTGCTGGGCGTCGTGTGGCTCGCGGGGCCATGGTACGCGGAGGAGTATCACGCTCTGGTGGAAGAGGCATCGAAATGAAAAAAAAAATTTAAGCTTATGGGGGAGTTTTGTTAGATAATCTTAAATTTTAGAGATATCCGAGTTAGTTTATCTGTTTTATTTGTTTCAGTTTAGATAAGATAGTTTTTGATAAGATTTGTTTTGATAAGATATTTTATTATCTTCTTGTTAATTCGGTACGTTGTACAATGGCTATTTAAAGGCCATCTCTTATTCAATGAAAACACAGTGAGTTGCTACGTTCACCCAATACTAGTATTACTCGTCTCTCTTATTTTTCTACAAGAGATAGGGCAAGATTAATATTATAATAATGTCATCGTCGAGAACAGTGCACGTCCTCTCCGTGCTTTTCCTCTGCGCTGTCACGTATTAATATTATAATAATGTTCCTCTGTGTTGTCTCCGGGGGACCGGTGTAGCCGGCGATGATTCAACACCTATTAATTTATGTTGCATTTTGGGTCCACACGAGAGAGTGTGTGTGCAATATGAATATATGAGAGGTAGGGCAAGATTAATATTATAATAATGTCATCATCGAGAACGGTGCACGTCCTCTCCGTGCTTTTCCTCTATGCTGTCACGTATTAATATTATAATAATGTTCCTCTGCGCTATCTCTGGGGGACCGGTGTAGCCGGCGATGATTCAACACCTATTAATTTAAAATTGGTTCATAAATGATTAGAAAAAAATTCTAAAAGTTGAATTTCTTAAAGTTTTTTATCATTGGAGTAAATTTGTGTTTGAGTTGCTTAATACTGACATGACACACTGGGAACCACTTTTTTCATTTTTCAATGTATGAAGCAATTCAAATGAGTTGCTTCCATTGAAGATGCCCTTATAGTCTAGAAAATATTAACCTAATAACTTTCCTAATATAAATCCATAATTTAAGGAATATTACAAGAAAAAGAAACGTCACATATGATAATATATATAAAATATCATTATAGATATAATATATATAAGTAAAAATTTATTTAACATATAATTTTAATATTAATTTTAAATGGGATTTAATAATATATATTATGTATCACTATAGTTTATACTTATATTATTTTTTATTAATATTCTAATATATATTGTATTTATAATATAAGTAAAAGTAATTTTTAGTATAGTTTGTAATTGAATGACACATAATACCGAACATGATATGGTGGAACATAATTAGGGATAAAACTTTGGTCCTGCATGATTGCATCCCTATAAATTTCAGTACGCATGCCATCCTACACGAAGCCAACAAAATGAGAAGGTAATTAAAATAATGGACTTCGAAGTCAGTGTAACGTTAGTTTAAAGAGGCTAATGATGTTGTGGTTGCTTTTGGTCACAAATAAGGGTTTGTATGTGGAGGGAGAATGTGTTATTTCATCCTTTGGTTTTTATGATTTCTAAAGAGAAGAGGTTGACTAGAACCTGCAATCACAATTTTATGAAATGTGGGAGAAGTAGATTAAGAGTAAGAGAGACATATAAGTAAGATATGTGAGATTTTGAAACAAATTTTTTTTTATATTATTTATACCCCAAGTAACCATACAAATTAAGTAAGAGAATATAAAATTGTTAAAGGTTAAAACAATATTAAAAATTGTGAAGACATATTCGAAGTATTCCTTTGAATATATATATATATATATATATATATATATATATATGGAAG